CAAACAATTCAAGAGTAGGGTAGGGCAGTAGCATTGGCAATGCTGAATAGGCCTAGTTTCATTTTAGTATCCGAGATGTGGAAACATGTGAAAGGAATCTTAAGGGCATCTATCGTTGTTTGGGTGACGCCTCCCTTTATGAGTTGTGCATGTTCCCTTTTCTTATGAAAGGGATGATAGAGTTGTTGCAGGGTATTTTTGATGCGCTTTGTTTCCAATGTGCATAAAAGAGGAGGCGGTTGCAACCATGCCCAATAGATAACAAATATGAGTATGGACTACTCAAGCCCAAGCGGAATAAGCCTAATTTTGAAGAGCTATCGAAATGATGTCATCTTGGGCCCAAAAAGTGTGTGAGAGTGACATTTGACATCCCAAAGTTCTTCCCAAAATTTAGTTTGGAGTGCTATGCTCTAACGTGTACAATTTATACCATTAGCTATCAGTTATTTCACCCGATTTATGCTCATCTGATGTAATTGGAGCTCATAAGTGAATATGCGCTTCACTGAATATTCGATCTACCTTGAATATGTGCTAGAAGTGGTGAATATTGTTGAAGTTCATATTGATGTTTTTTAATGTTGAAAATGTAAAGATTTATTCAATATTTTTACTAATTTTTGGCTGATTTGGCCTCTATTTGGTAATGTAAATGACCGTAAAATTTGACAAATGAATTTATAGGTATGAAATCTTATTAAGCATGAAATTAAAATTACTATCTATTGTTATACATCATTTTTGATGTACTTGTATCCCCGAGGCGAATAAGGAGAGAGCTAGTAGTAACCTGTTCCCTCGAGGGCCCCAGATGCCTCTAGACCACGGGAACACTGTAGCAATAAGGCTAATATTGAGCGACCTCTAAAGGAGTGTCAGAATGGCCTCAAATTGTATGAGAGGGTAATTTTCAATGCCTTAAGGACACCCGTAAATGTTTGGCATTCTAATAAGTTTTGAGTTGATCAAGACAAAACTCAATTGTCAAATCCATTTCCTATCATGTTGAAAATGTACCCTATAACTATAGCCCTATTTTTTGGCCTCAAAACAATACCAAACCACCTCCATTGGATCCAAAACGTCGAAAGACTCCCAAGTACCAAATTTCGGTTCAATCGGATCCTCCAGAACCATTTTGAGCCTAACTTATGGTAAAATAGTGGGTTATACACTATTGCGGTGTAGCCTTGATGAACCAAATTCTATTTAGGGAAACTGTGTTTTCTCATTTTGGGATGATATTCAAATGCTTATAACTTGCTCATATTGGGTCCAATTATGCTTAAATTAGGACATGAGCTAGATCTTGACGATACGCTCGATTTGACATATGGTATACACCAAGGTGTAGCCCGAAACAAGAGAATTATTAAAGAGAAGATGGGCTCGAAACATGAAAATTCAGATTTTAAAAAAGAAGAACATCCAATTCTTTGAGAAATCATAGCTCAAGATCCCAATGTTGGATCCTCGCAAGTATGGGTCCGTTGCGACCATGCTTCTTGCTTGCTTTTTATACTTGACTTGCTTAGTAAGACACAATCCTACGATCAACTCAACCAATCAATTCAATAGTACTAGCTGAGCGACTGGCTTGCATAGTTGTCTCTATCCTGCTGAGACTGGACTATTTCCCTTGCCTATGGGACTGCTGCCTACCCTACTTCCCTCTTGCTTAAGAGCTACAGTTTGATATAACTTTTGTGTATGATCGGAGGCCGGATAACACCAAATTTTGAGGTCGAAGAAGGCATACTTTTCTGGTGGCCGGAATCCCATTTTTTGGTGACTTCCCAAAATTGGAGCATGCTCAAATGGAGACCAAAATGGACAAAATTTATCACGAAAGGATCGCGATAATATCATCTTCAATTTGTGATCAAAATGAAGACTCGAAACATCATGGATTGTGCCACATCGATGGTCGAATAATCACAAGTGTATGGAACTTGGACGGATTTTGGGTTCTTCCTTAAAAATCTGTTTCAAGACAATCAAAGGGTATCAAAACATGTGCAATAGTTCAAACATCAATTTTGCCACGTTTGATCACTCGAATTACCACCGAAAGCGTCCAGAACAGCTCCTGAGACCTAGCAATGCCAAGAGGCCCCTCATGGAGGGATGGTTTTATCATTTGTTGAAAAGTGCTTAGGGGCATTTTGGTTTTTTGGTAAAAAGGGGGATTAATATTTTAATTCATTAAATGCATATTTTTTGACAATTTTGATTGTTTTTGAGTAATTTACCCTTGTTTTGGGGTTGCTCTATATAAGGAACTCAAGTCATTTGTAATAACTCTCTTGGAGTAATTCTTAAACTCTTAAACACTTAGTCATTTGTAATCAAGCTCCTGGAAATTCTTGCTTGTTCTTTTGCTTTGCTTTGAAATTCAGGACTCAAGATGGGAGGAAAGAGAAACATTTCCTAGAGAGAGAAAATACCCTTAGGAACCCTTCACTCCCTAGAATCTCAAAATCATAAATCCTTTAGGATTCCCAACTCTCAATCCCATACACCTTAGAACTCCTAGCTTCCATACACATTAGAACCCCTAGCTCCCAATCCTACTCCATACACCCTACATCTTATCTTAGCTAGCCTACACCCTACTCTACACCATGCACCATAGTGCCCCATACACCATAGCATCCTATACACATTAATTAGCCTATATTTTAGTCTACCTTAGCTAGCATATACATTAGTCCATCCCATATACCCTAGTTCCTATACATCATACCTCAACCCAACCCACCTAAGCTAGACACCTAGACCTTAGACCCTAACATTGACCCAAGACTAAGACCTCTCTTTCTTCTCATGTGCATGCAAAGGAACTGACGAAGGTGCACCTAGGTTCAAGCTTGTTCTAGGTCCATTATCTCCCTTCTCCTTTCCCTTCTCTCTCTCCTTTCTTCTTTCTCTCTTTCTCTCTCTTCTTCTTTCTTTCATTCTCTCTCTCTTCTCTCATCCTTTTCCTCACTCTTTCTCACTCTCTCTCCTCCTTTGCTTGGACTCATGGCGGGTGCAAGCCTCCCTCTCTTCTTTTCCCTTCTTTTCTCAGTCTCTCTCTCCCACACCTAAACGTTTGGGCGCGCACCTAGGGCAGGTCCGACTACTCTCCCTCTCTCATTATCTCTTTTTCTCTCTTTCCCCACTCAAGGCACTGGGCCACGCCCTAAGCAAGTCCGTCCCCCCCTCTCCATTTCTCTCCCTTATCCCATATCTCTCTCCCATCTATCCATTGACCTGCACCATAGGTGGGTCCGCCCCCTCTCTCTCTCTCCACTCTCTCTCGTCCATTCTCTCATTCCCCTTTGCGCCTGGACCCACACCTTAGTCAGGTCCATCCCATTTGCTCTCCACTTTCTCATCTCGTCCACTCTCTTACCCCCCTTAGAGGCATACCTGCACTTAAGGTGGGCCTATGTATTGGTTAATGATGAAGGTGAAGAAGCTATGCCCCCAATTAATGAGAGACACTTGAAAAAGTATTATTCATATACCTTGGTCCAAGCTGCACAACCTTAAACTGCGTGGCAATGGTCTAAGCCTCATGACTTTAAACTGCATGGAGACAATTCAAGCTACACGACCTTAAACTGCGTTGCATTGGTCCAAGTCGCATGACCTTAAACTATGCGGCAACAGTCCAAGCCACACGACCTTAAACTACATGGCATCAGTCCACACTACAAGACCCTAAACTGGGTGGCACTGGTCACTGTATGACCTTAAACTACATAGCACACGTCCTGGTGGCATGATGCTAAACTACATCACACACGGTCTCGAAGGTATGACCTTAAAATTGCCTCCATTAGGTCTTGGCGAATGACCTTAAAACACACAAAATTTTATGGTCTCGAAGGCACGACCTTAAAATTGCCTCCATTAGGTATTGGTGGATGACCTTAAAACACACCAAATCGATAGTCACGGTGGCATGACCTTAAACATGCCTCCCCATGGTCACAATAGCATGACCTTAAGAATTGCCACCTCAAAAAGATCGACATGACGAAAACCCGCAAGGGCGTCATGGGTAAAATAATCAAAGGAAATAAAAGAAAAAAAAAAAAATGACAAGCATAATAGTATCACCAACTATTACGAGCAAAATATGCCAAAATAAAAGAAAAGAACAAAATGGGCATGATGAAAACCCGCAAGGGAGTAAAAGTGTAAAATGGCAGACATGACGTACAAACCATGTGTAAAAGCGCT